GGTCAATAGTGCCATGCACTTATACAGCAAGAGACCCCCCTGGCTGACAGGAGACGCTACTTCACTGTCAGGGTGACTAGGATCTGGAACCAACTTCCAAGAGAAATGGTGCTGGCTCCTACCTTGGGGGTCTTTAAGAGGAGGCTAGATGTACACCTTGCTGGGGTTGTTTGACCCCAGTACTCTTTCCTGCCATGGCAAGGGGTCGGACTCAATGATCTGCTCAGGTCCCTTCTGACCCTAGAAACTATAAGAGAAAAAAAAATCCTGTAGGTAGCCAGAAAACAGTTTGCCTTTTATAGGCAGAAACAGTTACTCCCTACCACCGCTACACCTAATAGAAAAATGTTCATTCTTAAATTGGATTCAGACCTCCTTTGTGAAACTTTTTTTTTTTTTTTTTTTTTACTAAGTCACCACCCTGAGCTGGTATTTCAACATTTCCTCAACTCCCTAACCCGTTTTTCCTATTCATAGGCTATATGAAGCAGTCTGACAGTTGCTCAACTTTCAACCTAAAAATAATTCAAGAAGAAAACACTGCTTATAATATGAACAGGATTTGGGGGTTTTCAAGCTTTACCATCATTAACTTGCCTGGTCCTTCTGCTGCAGATACCATGCTGCCCAACATTTATTCACAACATTCTGTTGAGATTAATAAGCAATGACAACATACCTAAAGCAATTATCAGCACAGCAGGTTCACCCTGCCTGAAGCCATCTGGAACAGTCAGCAGGCACGTGTCAAGCACATCTAATCTGCTTGCTCACCATCTTTATCAGTTTTCTGTATTAACAGGGCAAACAGCAGGCTGAATATTTTTAATACTGACATTTCTGTTCCTTGAAAGAAATTTCATAGCTGTCTTGCTCGTTATACTGTACAATTTTTTTTTGGATAAGGGGAAAAAAAGAATATAAAGAACTTGAATATGGAAACATCTAACTATATATTGCTTGATTTTTAAGGCTACTATATTTTTAAGACTTGTGACAGAAGTTAAACATCATCTCACATGCTTCATTTCTGCATTGAACCATGTCTGTACATGTAGCTATACTTCCTTAGAGTTGTAGCTCCAGGGGCCTTATGTCTCAATTGCCTGGAACTCTGAGCTATTACCAGTAGGTCTGCAGCAGTAAAAAGCAAGAGCACTACCTCTTCCTGGAAAAGCATTCTGCACCTCCACATTACTGCTGAAGAATCTATAACCAGGGAGGTTACAAAGCCTTAGGAGACTACTGTGTTATCAGAAAGGAAAACCTACAGCAGTCACCACTAAGACCCTTGTAACTGATATCTGCAGGCCAGATGAGTTGCTGCAGAAGTGGAATCTAGAGGAGAGTGCACAGACCAGGACTCAGGACAGCTTGGTTCAATTCCTGACTCTGTCACCGATTTCCAGGGTAATGTTGGGCAAGTCATGTTCCCTCTCTGCATCTCAGTTCCTGCATCTGAAGAAAAGGAAATAACGATAGCAACCTCTGTAAAGTACACTGGCATCTACTGACCAAAAGAACTAGGTATTGTCACTATTGTAATGTTTACTTGACATAAGAGAAGATTTTAATAGCCATCACTGTCCTCGAGTCTGCTCAGTGTAAAAAGCATTGAGCTCTCCCACAGTTACATTGTGACCTTTAGTCACAAAAAAGGTAGGCAGTTGTCTTTGCTAGAAGTCATTCCAATATAATGAGTAACATGCAGGAATCATTTTCACATTACTCATCACATTGCTACTGGCTAAATACAAGGTAAGCATAAATTATTAAGTGCTGTCCCAACCCACTTCCTGGTTTCTCAGGTTGCTAAGTAGATATTTGTACAGGTAATATTATAGGTATCAATTTGAAAAAGGAAAGGCAGTATAGCCAAATGTTGGTTTGTCTACTGCTTAAACCTGTATAAAATTCACATGCAGATTGCAGTGACACAATTCATCTTTTCAAAGTCCTGATCTGCTTAAATATTTGGTCTTCATTTTATACTTCCTAATACATGCAGAAGTCTAAAACGTGATGACTGCAGTCGCTGTTTTCCAGAGTTTTCCAGATGTATAAGCAGAGGCATTCTACATAGTCTTTCACTTGATCTAGAGCGCATCAGACAGTAAAAGATGACAGCTTCACAGCTATTACAAAATAAACAGTGCTAGTTTGTTTGCTGCCACACTTGGGGAACAGAGTACTTGTCATCTGTGGTTAGTCATACATCCAAAACATGAGTGAAACCATTTGTGAATTTCATCACTCATGGTTTTTAGCATAGAAATACTTAAATACTTCCCAGAAATGATATTATTTATCATTAGTCTACTTCATACTTCAAAAGCTTTGCGTCATTTAGGTAGAAGGCAAAAAAAACATTCTGTCTCCCTTAAGCTAATACATGACTTCCATCTGCCTCCTCAGTACACATCCTTCTTAAACAGCTCCCCTGAAAGACAATGTTATGAGGAAGCAGCATTCAGTTTGTATGCAGCATGTGTATTCATATCACTCCATTTTACATTACCTAGTACGCACAACATTTTATATTACTTGCTAAGCACCAGCTTTGTGCCTAAGACAGATGCTAGCCCCATTCTAAACTCAGCAGCAAGCTGTCAAAACAAAAATTAGGATTTACCTTCCAACAGGAAAATTCCTATTTCCAACTCATTAAGAGTCAGAAAAGAAATTCAGAGTAATTTGTTAATTTTCATCACAGCAAAAAATTAACAGGATGGTAATTCCAAGGTTTCTTACTATGACCACTTTTTTTATTTAAAACATTTATCAATGATCTGGAAAACAGAATAAGTAGTGAGATGGTAAAGTTTGCTTAAGATGACTAGAGTACAGACAGAGGTAAGATTGCAGAGAATTTCAAGAGGGAAGTCAAGCCAGGGAAATAAACGGCATGATACTGGATAGAAGTCAAATGATAGTAAACTAAGTTATGTAACTGAAAATAATTCTTTTCTCAAATACCTTTACTACAGACCACACAATTATCAGAATAAAGATGTATGTATAAAGAAGATTTATGCAGGGTTCCAGACAATTTAAGAGCTCTGCTCCCAGTTCAGCAACAGTGAGAAAAGCAAAAGAGGAAGATATATGTAGAGTATCATTTAGTTTATGGAACACGGAGGAATAGTTATATGCCAGAGGAATAGTTTTATATATATCTATACATATAGATAACAAAATCATCATCTGATGAACACAAATCAGTGACATATATTTATCCTGTAGCAAGATGCAAGAACTGGGAGGTATTGACCTGTTTTCACTGGCACTGAAGAACTTAATTGAAAGCAAACAGTTTTTCACTAAAAACACTAGGACAATACACAATATAGTTAGAAGAGAAGCTTAGAAGGATTAAGAAAGATTTAGACATTTATAAGGATAGAAACATCCAAAGCTTAGTAATATTTATTAGGACAACAGGCAAGAGCTTTGTAAGGGATATAAAAAAACTCATAATTCAGTATGAAAGCCAACCGTTAACTATTGGGGGAGTCAGTTACAAGTATGCAAGGATTTTTGTGGGACCAGCTGCATGGATGGGATACAGCTAGCCAAGCTTTCAAATGCCAGACAATCTTCACCAGTTAGAAGCAGATTCTCCCTGTGGTGGCAGTACTGGTCCCTGATGTCAGGCAACTAGGGCTGACAGCTCTCAACAAAGGTAGTGGATTAGATGGACCTGTGGCCTCAATCAGGGATATCAATTTGTAAGTGGTTTTAAAAGAGATGGACTGAAGAAAGAAGCCTACTGGACATCCTCATTCCTGCTGGTCTATTTACAGCTGAAGATTATATCGCAGGTTGAATGCCCGTGACTCAAACAGATGGCAGGTTCCTTCCTTCTAGCGCTAAGAAACTGGCAAAGCAGATCTGTTGTGTCCGACACCCTGTCTCCAACACCGTCTCCAGCAGCAGCCAGGGAGGGATGCTTAGGAGGAAAGGTCACTGTCCCCGCCATAAATGAACCAGCTCTGCAACCGTATGCTGGCAAGGTCAGCGGGGGTGGAGGATGTCTCCTGACCTCAGCCGTGATCCGTTTACACCCTCCAGCAGCAGGCTGAAGGACAGCCCCTGATGAGCTATGTGAGTTAAGCACAGGCTTACCAGGCACCTCAACCCGCTTGAGCCAGAGCAGTTTAAGAGAAATGTTAAAAAAAACCACAGGCATTCTTTTCAATGCCCTGTGCCCAGGGGCAGCAACTGGAGCGCCAGCCTGCCACAGCAGGAGACATTTGCTCCTCCCCGGGGGATAATCCTGGGCATGTGAGCCACCCCTCTTGGGGAAGGCACTGCCCTAGCAGCTCACAGAGACCCCCGCACCCAAATGTGTCCAGGAAGGGGCCCCTCTCCCCTCTCTGACAGCCCTGTCCAGCCACGCTTCCAGCTTGTGCACACACACGCATGCTTACTCACTCCTTACACTCTCACACCTATACACACACTTGCTTACTCCATACACACTCACACCTGCACATGCACTCACTCCTTACATCCTCACATGTAGACCCACACACACGCTTGCTCAATGCTTACACACCTCACACCCACTCACACCTATACATACATGCTAGCTCACTCCATACACACACACACGCTCACTCCTGACAACCTCATATCTAGACACAATTGCTCACTCAATCCTCACACCTACAAACACACAAGTGCTCACTCCTTACACACCTCACACCTATACACACATGCTTGCTCATTCCATATACGCACACCTGCGTGTGTGTGTACGCACACACGTTTACTCCTTATACCCTCACACCTACACACACACACAACACGTACTTGCTCACTCCTTACACCCTCACACCTAGACACACACCGGCTCGCTCACTCCTTACACACCTCATGCCGGCTCACACCTATACACACAGGCTTGCTCACTCCTTATAGCCTCAAATCTAGACCACACACACACACACAGGCTCGCTCGCTCCTTACACGCGCCCCCGGCCCCCGCCCCGGGGTACCTGGGATGGCGAGGTGCGCCAGCGGGCGGGCTCTGAGCGGCGGCGGCAGGGCGCCCATCCAGTCCGCCTGGCCACCCGCCGCCTTCCGCCACCCGCGCCCCAC